AATTCGCTACACAAAACCCTACATTAAAACAATCGGTTTCAGTGAGTGATAAGTCATTGCACTTTGACTTGGAGTCTACCCTACCGTCTCTCAACCCCCACCACAAGCCGTTTGGCCTGCAATAGGAAGCGTCCCTTATTGAAGACAACGGGGACGTCAGTGTTGGCCACTCTTGAGAACCGGAACTGCTGTGAGATCTTAGCTAAGGCTAGCTTTGCCTCCAATAATGCAAATCTCATTCCAATGCAATTTCGTGGACCCGAACCGAAAGGGATATAAGTATACGGTTTGATGTTTTCCCGGTTTTCCGGCATAAACCTATCAGGGTTGAATGTGAATGGATTCGGATAGTACTCGGGGTCGTGATGTATGGCATACACAGGGATTTCGACAAACAATCCCTTCTCGATCTTCACTCCAGTGTCGCCCAGAGTTACGTCTTCCATGGCTTCCCTCTCGAGTCGAAGTAATGGCGGATAATTGCGAAGAGTTTCTGATAGGAGTGCGTCAATGAATGGCAGTTTCGATAGGACTTCGTAATCTATTTCTCCCTTTTCATTGAATGCAGGTTTCGTTTCCTCATAGAGTCTGTCCTGAAGTGTAGGATTGAGTGCCAATTCATACGTACAGTACGACAAAGTAGTGGCAGTTGTCTCGTAACCGGCGATGAAGAAGAGGAAACATTGCGCTAATATCTCATTCTCTGTCAACTTCTTCTCGACGACATCACTGAGAGCTTCGGCGTCGGCTTCCATCTCATCCTTACCCTCATTCACATGATGTGCTTCATTGGCATCACTGGCCTCTCGGATATCGCCATCACTTCTCTCGACATCCATTAATAACTGCAGAAAATCGTTGTGTTTTTCATTATTTTTCTTTCGCTGCTGTACTAGACTTCGGGANACTTCTCTCGACATCCATTAATAACTGCAGAAAATCGTTGTGTTTTTCATTATTTTTCTTTCGCTGCTGTACTAGACTTCGGGAGAAGTCGACAAAAAAGTCCGAATTCGTTGAACCCATGATGAGTCTGCGGACGAACTGTATTCTGGCGATAAATGTAGGCAACGATACCATTAATATCATCTTCCAGAGGGGTCCGTGAAAGATATTATGAGCTCTGGTGGTGAACGGGTTGTTAGGATCGGCGTATGTATTGGTTTTGGTAGCGAAGGCGCAGCTGGCGATCACATCCATGGTGTAGGCGCCCATCAGTTGCTTCAACTCGACTTCGCTCTTATTTGCGGCTAATTTGTCCAAATTATTGATGAAGTCTTTGCAGCAAACGTTGATCAGAGGATACATTTTCCTCATTTTGCCGGACGTGAAGGTAGGGCTGGCTATCGCCCGGACCCGCTTCCAGTCGTCATCCCTGGCGTTGAACATGTTTTTCGAGAATACAGGGTGTCGACCACCCTGGTCACGTCTATTTCTGAATTTATGAAAGTCCTTGACCAGAATTTGCTTGACATGCTCCGGCTCAGCCACCGTGAGACCAGGTTTATTACCCATGTACACACTGTAAAATATATTTATATTATTTGTATAAAAGTTATATTATGTCAATGAGCACAGAATATAATATCAAGAATTACTATCACGCTATGTAAACTCAAATATAATTTATTATTACTATGTAATATCACAATTAAATGTGCATGATACTGTATTTACCCGAATAATCGACCATTGTTCTTATACCACTCTAACTCTACATAGGGTTTAGGTTTCAAAAAATTGCTCAAAAAGTTGCCAAATATTGGTATCGGTCTCGGAGTGGGAATATTCCTGTCCTTCCAGTAACTCAGGGCACGTTTCCATGTACTGCACAAAAATGGTATAAATATTTATAAATTGGATCCAGTTAAGTGTAATTGAATAAAAACCACTCACAAATGGTAATAACCGAGTATGCCAACAATGGCTGTAATTAAATACCAGTGCCACTGGGCGCATACAGCTCCCAACAAACAGGTCATCATGAAAATTAACTTGACAATTAAATAAATAACTTTTATTTAGTATAACACAATAATATAATGATACAATTGTTACTGTTAACTCAATATAATTTATTTATACATATTTTTATACAACAACTCCCCTTATTATAGCTACCATTCCTCGCAGTAACTCCGATAGTGATGTCATAACTTATTTAATCAGTGTTTTGATTAGATTAACGAACGAATACATAACGGTTTGCTTGAGACTAACTGCTCTATCATTGAGTTTAATTAAATAGAAATGACATTTTGAATGGAAAAATATTCCCCTTTTCATTTTAATACCCAATATAAGCCAGGCATTGCGATAGTGTGTACTAACTTAGTGCAAATTTCATTTGATAGATAATTATACTAGTATATACTGGCTGTACTCCGTACGGTAATAAATTATTACCAATAATATTTTAATTATTATTAAAATTTCTAGTTAATTATTATATTAATGAATTGTTATGATAGGTATTACAATATCTTGAATATAATCAAAATAATGATTTTATTTATGGAAATAAAGTAATAAAATATTTTGTTGAATAAAAATGTCTAATGTTTTGACAATTGAGACAATGATTTGAGTCAAAACAAAAGTAGTCATGAATTTTTCGCTGCCAAAGGTGAGTGACTCGTGAATTAAGTGAAATCTGTATGAGAATCACGTCCTACCTGTGCTCGACATACACTACCATACAGTGTATGTCTCGTATAATAATAGTCAGTAATGAAAACAATTGAGTAGTTAATGAAAAATAAATTCTAATTTTACAGTAAAACTATTATTGTATTAATAATGAATGAATAAAAATGTTACGATTGGATTCATTTAAATGCATTGCCAGGCACCCACTGAAAAAGGGAAATGTATGTTGGCTGTAGTTATAGTTATAATTGTATGTATGAAAACGAGATGACAAACTATTGAACAAGTCATGCAAATTGTAATTTAAGTTAAGATTCACACAAATTGTACGCTAATGTCAAGGAATGTATAATGTGTTTAAAAATATTGTACACAATAGTGGTGATAAATTTTAAAAATTTTCAAAAACCTTTTAGTTTATTACATGTTACTTGGTGTGCATACTGTTAAAACATGTTGATAAGCGTATTTAATGATTACATTGAAATATAATAAGTTATTATGTTTTATTTTTGTGCGATAATTATAAATAAAACACTTATTAATTGAATGTCTGTGCAGTTGTGCAATAGTATTGCAACTTTTTATATAATACACAGACTTCATAGACTTAACCGTACTTAACCGTACTCAAAGTACAAATAAACACTTAATATATAGAAAATTGTTAGTTATATAAAATGTGTGATAAAATATAATCTCTATATAAAAATATTTGCTGCGATAAAAGTAGTTATTATTATTGTATTATATGAAATGAAATGATTTAACATTTGAGTCTAGCTATGCAATTGCCGGGATCGATATGTCTGGCAATTATGAAGGCCTATCATATTAAGACAGTTATATTTGCGGTGGTTATGGGATATCACACCCAAAATTTTGTTATCATTGCATACATAGACTTCACGATCAAATTAATTACTTATGTTTATTATATGCAGCGATATTATACGATTGTAATAAATATTTTATGTGTTTTAATTGTTATGTTTTAGTAATGATATGAAAATGTTATCGCTTTTATGGTTAATATTTTATCAAATTAATTACTTATGTTTATTATATGCAGCGATATTATACGATTGTAATAAATATTTTATGTGTTTTAATTGTTATGTTTTAGTAATGATATGAAAATGTTATCGCTTTTATGGTTAATATTTTACTATAGCTTTAGTAATCGTATGATAATTATAGGATTTTATTAAAGTAAAATTGGATAAGTTTTTAATGATTTTTGTTTTATGATCTTAGTTTGTATATTTGTTTTGCATATTTGATTTTATTTTTAAAATTAAATCTCTAATCACTATGCTCACACAATAATAGGTTTATTATGCATAAAGTTTATTGAAGGTTTTATTAAAAATTAATTAATTTTTGATACTACTAATAATATTAGTCTAATATGATAAAAATATGTAGCAGTTTATTGCTTTTAAAATTTTTATTGTATAATTGATTCATTATTAAAATGTGTATTGATAAAATAAATTATCGTATTCAATAAAGTACATACTGTAATAAGTTATTACTAATAACATTGCTTAAAATGATTAATATTTGATTAAATTAAAACTATTGCATGTGAAATGTCATAAATGGAAAAGAGGTGTCCCACCTTATCATTGTGAAAGGGATTCTTGATATCGATGGTGCATTTCATAGCCCCCACTGACCCCCACCAAACCCCCAAATATTTTGAAAATTGATGCGTACAATTTTGCACAA